CAGGACGTCATGCTTAGTAAAGTAGAGGGTCAGTGAGAAGGGGCAAGGCCTTCAACAAGGTGGACTGACACAGTGGCTGCGCAGCAAGGATGGTGGGTGGTGCAGGACCAGGCAGTGTTCCGTTGTGCCGTCCACGGGGTGGCTGTGAGTGAGAGCCGACCCGACAGCACCTGACAGCAGCAGGGCTGTACGGACGCTGCCGGTCTGGCCACACTGCAGTTTGTGGGTCCCGAGTCACCAGCACACACACACACGCGTGTGTCTGCCTCCTCAGCCTGCAGTCACTTGAGAACTGCAGTGGTTTCATCGGCACGTCCAGACTGAGCTGGACTAGGAAGGAAGCCTCTCCCTCCAGAGTCAGCTGGTGGATGCCCCCCGGATCCCAAGTCTGACCCACAGCTGAGGACGGGAAGGTGCGGGACAGGGAGGCATTTTGTTCTGTTGTGCATGGGTCACCACGAGTCGTGGGCCAGCTGAGTGGCAGCTAGGCCAGAGTTCTAGCCCACCTCCATCTGGGATTTACCACAGTATCCTGGGCCTGGGGAAACATCTCCGATCCCCTGGGCCTAGGCCCCCTCCTCCCCGGGATTTCAGATTTCTGCCCAGCCTATGGCATGCCCGCCTGAGGTCTGTGAAGGGGACTCCACTTCACAGAAGATTGGCAGTTCTTCACTCTTCACAGAAGAGTGGCTGTGCAGTCAGACTCCTGGCGTTCAGATCCCACCTCTGCCTGACTAGCTGTGTGACTACAGGAGGGTTCTTGCCCTCTCCGACCCCACTGCCTTCCTGGAAAAGTAGGGATTGGGGTGCATAACCACTTAACCAAAAGGCTGGCAGTCCAAACCCACCCAGTGGCTCCACGGAGGGGAACCTGGCCATCTGCCCCTGTTTTACAGGTGACTGTTGTCACCAGGTGCTGTCACGTCGCTTCAAACTCACGGCAAACCCTGTGCAACAGAGTCGCGCTGTCCCATAGGGTTCTCTGGGCTGTGCCCCGGGAGGAGATCACCAAGTGCTTCTCCGCAGCCCCAGGGAGGGGTCCACTCAGGAGACGGCTGGGCCCCGGTGAGGGAGCTGGTCTCAGGGGAGGGTGTCTTCTTCAGGTGGAGTCCTCCGTTGATAAAGTTTTATTTTTTCACATCAATATGCTGCTTTGAAACATAAAAAACATCTTATGTGACCAGAATGCATCATTACATAACAGCAAAACCAGTCATTCATTAATATGTGGATGACTCAGGACACAGCGGAATTCCTCCACTTGCCCCTTGGCAGGTGGTCTGCCTGCGCAGGATCCGCCCCACACCGTCCGTGTGTCCCAGTGGCTCGGATGGTCCTCACGGTTTCCTTGTGAAGTCACTTCCATGACTCTGGAATGTCCTGAGATAGGGACATCCCAAACCAGCTGCCATCGGGTCAGTGCCAACTCATGGGGACCCGCGTGTGTTGGGGAAGCTCTGTGCCCCAGGGTTTTCCAACCTGTCGTCTTTGGGAAGTACACGACCAGGCCTCTCCTCCGAGGTGCCTCTGGGTGGCGCCGACCTCTTGGGTAGTAGCCACGTGCTTAGCTGTTTGCTCTACCCAGGGTCCGGGGACATGAACATAATGCAGTTAACCATTGCTGACTGTCAGATGTCCACATCTGTCTGGTGTTTTTCCTGTTATGAAAACATCTGCAGTTAACAGCTTCACAAAGACTTTTGTGCGTCTGTCCCAGAGTTTCACCAGGATGGGTCTCTGCCCTGGAGTTGTTGGGTTCAAGGACAGGGTCATTGCTGATGACCTTGATGTTCAGGGAATCTGCTCAAAGAAGGGCTGGGTTAACTCCTGGGCCTCCAGCAGGTATGGGCTGCCCCACACTCACTGCAGCCAGCGTCCATTCCCACCACCTGCTGCTAAGCGTGGGGCTCTCTGTTGTTTCAGCATGGTCTAATCTAATCCCCACAGCAGCCCTCTGCCTTCATGACTATTATCAACATTTTATAAAAGGAGCTGGTGAGGTTCGGTTACTTGCTCCATATCAAGTAGCATTCAGAGGGTTCCCCAGGTCTGTATAACCCCCATGCCCACACTCTCAACACTGACACGCCCTGACTCGCAGCATCCTGCTCAGTGTTGAGTGTCAGTGGTCTCTGACATCCCAGAGAACAGGGTTTGTCCTTTAGCCTGGTGATCTGATCCCTGGGAGATACCAACATTCTTCATAAGGTCCTTGATCATTTGTATTTATTCTGCTGTGACTTACCTACTCATGCCCTTGCCCTGTTACTGAATAAAGAACTCAATTATTTTTCTTATTGATTTATAAGAGCTCTTTATATATTGTTGGGTGCCGTCAATTTGGTTCCAACTCATGACAACCCCGTGTGAAGTAGAACTGGCCCATAGAGAACAGTTCACATGCATTCTGTTTCACGGCACAGATTACAATCTCCATGGTGGATGATCTAAAAGATGCCTTTTTCTTGTGCAAAACTTAACCAGGCTCTTTTGACTCTTCTCCCCCCAGAAAGGAAAGAAGAGTGCGGTTCTGGATCTTTCTCAGCCACCAAATGACATGCTGCTGCCATGGCCCCAGAAACCAAACCCCAATGGCCTTCGAAGACAAAAGCGGGACTGGGTCATCCCGCCCATCAACGTGCCGGAAAACTCGCGCGGGCCCTTCCCCCAGCAGCTCGTGAGGGTAAGTGGAAGCCCCCCTGCTTACCATGAAAGGGACCTGACCAGCTGGGTTTCACAAATCTGGGGATGGACATGGAGAGGCAAGGACAGGTTCTGCACGTGGTGGTGAAAAGTCAAGGTGGCACCTTCCTGGTAATTAGTGTGATCCAGAGCAGAGAACCTTCTGAAGGGGTCTGTGTCCTCAGAGGTAGGAGGACCTTCTTGGAAACCGTGTCCTCTCTCCTGGTGACTTGCAAATGATGCTCTCGGGTGTGCAGGGAGTTGGGGCGGGCCCTTGGGTTGTGGCTTTGGATGTCTGGGTACCTTGACTCTGGTCTGCTCGCTCACATCTCTTTCCATCTCTGAGTGGTGAGATGGCGGTGTGTCTGCTGTGGTGGCAATTAGAAGCCTCAAGACTGGCACTGGGAGGGCAAGGCTAAGTGGCATGTGGTTGACTGCCAGTGACTTTGGTGAGCAGGTAGCACTCGCGAGCGGACAGGCTCCTCACCAGCCCGCGCAGGTTGCTTGTCCCAAAGGGAGACTTTGTTTACAAATTTGTGTTTCAGTAATCAAGGCCATTGGCTAGCATTCCCTTCTTCCCTTTGAAGACAGTAGCCCCCATCTGAGCAATAATTTGATGAAATGATGGTGAGAATTCCATTAAATAATTCCCATCCCTGTGGCGAGCCTCACCCCACTCTGCTTGAAGCCAGGGGCCCAGGGTGTGGTTTAAGGTCGGTGTCATTCTCTGGGCTGATTAGCCACTCCACTGTTTCCAGTCCTTTCTGGAGAGATGGGGCTGGGTGTTCAAAATGCAGAGA